GACAGTGGTTGAAATGTTTACAACACTGACAGTGGAAACACCACACCTGGACTAGAGGAAACATGGACACTGGACTAGAGGAAACATGGATGTCAGGACACTGGACTAGAGGAAACATGGACACTGGGTCTACTAGAGGAAACATGGACACTGGACAGGACACTGGACACTGGACAACTAAGGAAACATGGACATTTTGACTTAGGAAATTTACACCTTTTAATGACACTGGACTAGAGGAAACATGGACAGTGTTACAGGACACTGGACTAGAGGAAACATGGACACTGAACTAGAGGAAACATGGACATTGGTACAGGACACTGGACTTGAGGAAACATGGACACTGGACTAGAGGAAACATGGACACTGGCACAGGACACTGGACTAGAGGAAACATGGACAGTGTTACAGGACACTGGACTAGAGGAAACATGGACACTGGACTAGACACATGGACTACAGGTTACTGGACACTGGACTAGAGGAAACATGGACAGTGTTACAGGACACTGGACTAGAGGAAACATGGACAGTGTTACAGGACACTGGACTAGAGGAAACATGGACAGTGTTACAGGACACTGGACTAGAGGAAACATGGACAGTGTTACAGGACACTGGACTAGAGGAAACATGGACACTGGACTAGAGGAAACATGGACAGTGTTACAGGACACTGGACTAGAGGAAACATGGACAGTGTTACAGGACACTGGACTAGAGGAAACATGGACACTGGACTAGAGGAAACATGGACAGTGTTACAGGACACTGGACTAGAGGAAACATGGACAGTGGTACAGGACACTGGACTAGAGGAAACATGGACACTGGCACAGGACACTGGACTAGAGGAAACATGGACACTGGACTAGAGGAAACATGGACAGTAGTACAGGACACACTGGAAACTAGAGGACTAGAGGAAACATGGACACTGGTACAGGACACTGGACTAGAGGAAACATGGACACTGGTACAGGACACTGGACTAGAGGAAACATGGACACTGGCACAGGACACTGGACTAGAGGAAACATGGACACTGGCACAGGACACTGGACTAGAGGAAACATGGACACTGGCACAGGACACTGGACTAGAGGAAACATGGACACTGGCACAGAACACTGGACTAGAGGAAACATGGACACTGGACTAGAGGAAACATGGACACTGGTACAGGACACTGGACTACAGGAAACATGGACACTGGCACAGGACACTGGAGTAGAGGAAACATGGACACTGGTACAGGACACTGGACTACAGGAAACATGGACACTGGCACAGGACACTGGAGTAGAGGAAACATGGACACTGGCACAGAACACTCGACTAGAGGAAACATGGACACTGGACTAGAGGAATCATGAACACTGGTACAGTACACTGGACTAGAGGAATCATGGACACTGGTACAGAACACTGGACTAGAGGAATCATGGACACTGGCACAGAACACTCGACTAGAGGAAACATGGACACTGGACTAGAGGAATCATGGACACTGGTAAAGTACACTGGACTAGAGGAATCATGGACACTGGTACAGAACACTGGACTAGAGGAATCATGGACACTGGTACAGAACACTGCACTAGAGGAATCATGGACACTGGACTAGAGGAATCATGGACATTGGTACAGAACACTGGACTAGAGGAAACATGGACATTGGTACAGAACACTGGACTTGAGGAAACATGGACATTGGTACAGAACACTGGACTTGAGGAAACATGGACACTGGTACAGAACACTGGACTTGAGGAAACATGGACACTGGACTAGAGGAAACATGGACACTGGACTAGAGGAAACATGGACACTGGACTAGAGGAAACATGGACACTGGACAAGAGGAAACATGGACACTGGACTAGAGGAAACATGGACACTGGTACAGGACATTGGACTAGAGAAAACATGGACAGTGTTACAGGACAGTGGACTAGAGGAAACATGGAAATTGACTGAGAACACTGGACATTACCAGAGGAAACATGGACATTGGTACAGGACACAACTGGAGGAAACATGGACATGGGTATGCAACAGTGGACATTAAAAGGAAAGATATGACCACTGTTACAGAACACTACTGAAAAAGCCATGAATATATGTACACATTCCTGGACATTTATAGAGAAGACATCGTTGCAGGATTTTGAACAAAGATGACTTAGACAATAGACTGCACAATGTATTTCCCGGCATGGCATATTTCGCTGTATCTTGCCAGGTGCATACTACAGTAACAATTGATTAAAACTGATTAATTGATTGAGTGTGTCCTCTTCGTTAAAATTCACTACAGGGAAAGATTGCTTTGATTTTCTGAAATCGTTACAGGACACTACTGGAGGAGACATGGACACTGGTACACAACACTGGACAATATAGGGAAGATATGAAAACTGTTACAGGACACTACTGGAGGAGACATGGACACCGATACACAATACTGGACAATATAGGAAAGATATGGAATCTGTTACAGGACACTACTGGAGGAGACAAGGACATTGATACACAACACTGGACAATAATAGGGAAGATATGGACATTGTTACAGGACACTACTGGAGGAGACAAGGACATTGATACACAACACTGGACAATAATAGGGAAGATATAGACATTGTTACAGGACACTACTGGAGGAGACAAGGACACTGGTACACAATACTGGACAATATAGGGAAGATATGGAATCTGTTACAGGACACTCCTGGAGGAGACAAGGACATTGATACACAATACTGGACAATAATAGGGAAGATATAGACATTGTTACAGGACACTACTGGAGGAGACAAGGACACTGGTACACAATACTGGACAATATAGGGAAGATATGGAATCTGTTACAGGACACTCCTGGAGGAGACAAGGACATTGATACACAATACTGGACAATAATAGGGAAGATATAGACATTGTTACAGGACACTACTGGAGGAGACAAGGACATTGATACACAACACTGGACAATAATAGGGAAGATATAGACATTGTTTCAGGACACTACTGGAGGAGACAAGGACATTGATACACAATACTGGACAATAATAGGGAAGATATGGACATTGTTACAGGACACTACTGGAGGAGACAAGGACACCGATACACAATACTGGACATTAATAGGGAAGATATAGACATTGTTACAGGACACTACTGGAGGAGACAAGGACACTGGTACACAATACTGGACATTAATAGGGAAGATATGGACATTGTTACAGGACACTACTGGAGGAGACAAGGACACTGGTACACAATACTGGACAATATAGGGAAGATATGGAATCTGTTACAGGACACTACTGGAGGAGACAAGGACATTGATACACAACACTGGACAATAATAGGGAAGATATAGACATTGTTACAGGACACTACTGGAGGAGACAAGGACATTGATACACAATACTGGACAATAATAGGGAAGATATAGACATTGTTACAGGACACTACTGGAGGAGACAAGGACATTGATACACAATACTGGACAATAATAGGGAAGATATGGACATTGTTACAGGACACTACTGGAGGAGACAAGGACACCGATACACAATACTGGACATTAATAGGGAAGATATGGACATTGTTACAGGACACTACTGGAGGAGACAAGGACACTGGTACACAATACTGGACATTAATAGGGAAGATATAGACATTGTTACAGGACACTACTGGAGGAGACAAGGACATTGATACACAACACTGGACAATAATAGGGAAGATATAGACATTGTTACAGGACACTACTGGAGGAGACAAGGACATTGATACACAATACTGGACAATAATAGGGAAGATATGGACATTGTTACAGGACACTACTGGAGGAGACAAGGACACCGGTACACAATACTGGACATTAATAGGGAAGATATGGACATTGTTACAGGACACTACTGGAGGAGACAAGGACACTGGTACACAATACTGGACATTAATAGGGAAGATATGGACATTGTTACAGGACACTACTGGAGGAGACAAGGACACTTATACACAATACTGGACATTAATAGGGAAGATATGGACTTTGTACAGGACACTACTGGAGGAGACAAGGACATTGATACACAATACTGGACAATAATAGGGAAGATATGGACATTGCTACAGGACACTACTGGAGGAGACAAGGACACTGATACACAACACTAGACATTAATAGGGAAGATATGGACATTGTTACAGGACACTACTGGAGGAGACAAGGACATTGATACACAACACTGGACAATAATAGGGAAGATATGGACATTGTTACAGGACACTACTGGAGGAGACAAGGACATTGATACACAATACTGGACATTAATAGGGAAGATATGGACATTGTTACAGGACACTACTGGAGGAGACAAGGACATTGATACACAATACTGGACATTAATAGGGAAGATATGGACATTGTTACAGGACACTACTGGAGGAGACAAGGACATTGATACACAATACTGGACATTAATAGGGAAGATATGGACATTGTTACAGGACACTACTGGAGGAGACAAGGACACTGGTACACAATAGGATATTTACTGGGGAGATAGGGACACTGTTAAGGATACTACTGAAGGAAGCAAATGGATATTACTAGAAAGTGTTGGACATTATTACAAAGCACAGAGACATAAAGAGAACACAACAGAAAGGGCAATATTACCAAAAGAAACTGAACGATACTACAAGGACAGTACGATAGGACCCCCCAAAAAATTTACAATCACACATTTTTTTCTATTCTATGCCTGATAACTATATACCAACAAAGCAATTTTTAAATTTTTAACATGTATTATTGTTCTACAATGTAAAGAACTAATATTTAATTCATCAACTAACAACTATTTAAAGATCCATGCTGTAAAAGATTTCACTGATTAGTTTCAGTAACAGGCGGGCACATCATTCCAGCTGTATGGTGAAATAAACAATATTTGGTTTCTTTTGTGGTTTTGTGAACAATGTGTTTTGGTTGGCTAGTTCGTGAATTCTCTGAAAGACTGAGTTTTAATAGTTTCAACTCTTGTGATTGGCACCCAGGTCATTTGAGCCCTGAAGAGGTTTGTGTACAGATACTGAGTCACAGTGTCACCTCCACAGGTTTTGTTTTGCAGAGCCCTCTTTCTCCTCTCCAAGCCTCAAAACGAAAAGGGTGTGTAAGCCCGGTACTGGAACTTCTTATCAGTGGAGATGCTTATTAAAATGTAACCAAGCTTTGATTCAGCAGAGCACACACAGACTGGATGGCGTCAGGTCTGGGTTGGCAATGCTCCCTCCGCGGGTTTTAGGTATTTCAGAATCAAGAGCTCCAAAATATTCTCATTGGAAGAACAATGTGGAAGAGTGAGGATGACTGATTCAGGTGAGTGCTGCTTGCAAGTGTCAACAATTTATGACAACTGAAAGTTAATTCAAAAACATCTGCTTTCTTCGGCTCATGAACAGATGAACGGACATTATAGTAAAACTAAAGGACCCTTTTCAGGCCAGTGATGCACTAGGCTAATAAAGCTGGACTCATCTTTTTTTTGGGAAACAGACAATAGGTGATATGGTCAATATCACACTGGACACTTTCACTTATTGGAGAAATTTCCTTATACCCACAATTTTAAACTGGAAAGACCCAGGAACCAAGGTAATTTTTTCCCTATGGATTCAAACCCAAGAGACCTTTGGGCAGACATGCCAGTCTCTAGCCATTAGGCTACCATATTCCCCCCTTCCAATGTACAGACAAAGACCCCTTAAATATGTATACAGTGACATCTCCTGTGTGTCTGTTTGATCCCGTGCTATCACAGCCTGGAAATAAGTTAGCTATATGTAACTTGCAGATCTGAAAACAGCCATCTGTAAATTCAAGATCTCAAGGGAAAGTAAAAATACCTTCAGTGCCTGAAGATCACTTTCCAGGCTGTGTCCTATAAGAATTGTTTTGTCACAGATCATGCTGAGCATCACCGCCTGCACCCCCCTCAGTGTTGTGGTGACTCCTTGCATGTCCTTCTCTGTAATCCCACTGAACCTGCACAAACCAAACAAGCATTCACATGTTTTAAAACCTGCTAGCTGGTCACAGGTAATGGGAATCTGATGTGTTACAACTTGCATTTACTGTTTGGAATTTTACACAAGACACAGGTAGTACAACACCCCTCCCCCCTTTCCTCAGACAATGGTGAATCACAGGACTTTGATGCATACGGTGCATGTTACAGATCTAATGTGTAGTTGGAAAATTACAAGAGCAGGTTAACAGGGCACTGCTCATACAAATATTATTTAAAAAAAAAAAAAGCTACTTATGGCATGTGTGTGAGATTCTTGTACACAGACACTGGGATCCTTGCCAAAGCTATGCAGTTTGTGCACTGTGATGTGAATCTCTCTGTATGATTTATGAAGATATATATATATGTGCAGTGAGCGTGATCCTTCACAAATCAAACATCTGAGATTATATGTTTAAAAAATATATATATATATATATATATTTAAAGCCAAATGAGCAGTTTTTCTCAGGATATCACAAACTAACCCCAAATCTTATTGGATACTGCATTGTGATGTGAATTCTTTGAAAGATTTATGAAGATATATATGTGCAGTTAATGTGATCCTTCACAAATCAAACATCTGAGATTATATTTTTCAATAAAAAATATATTTAAAGCCAAATGAACAGTTAGTTTTTCCTCAGGATATCACAAATTAACCCCAGAAATTAATGGATATTGTGTGGATTTACAAGACTATTTTGCATTAAATAGTTTTCTGAACAGAATGACAATCTCATGATTAAATCAGTGCAAAATGATATACTACCATCTCTCATAAAGCTGGTATCAAATAAATAGACTGGTGAGTAATTTTTTAAATTAAACGTTTCTATAGATGCAACGCTTAAAGTACACAAGAAGCTGAGAAGAAAAGAGCAGACTAGGATCTTGAGACTAGCAACAGACATTGTGGACTGAACTAGCCTCTAGAGAATGGATCTCAGATACTCAAGTCACCTGTAATAATAAGGCAAATACCAGAGCTTTCCAAGATAAGAGAATGGAAATATGACCATGGAAGCAATTCTACAGGACACACTATGAGGTCTGATGAACACAAGAGGCACATAGAAGCTCATGAATACAGAGCAAACACTGATCACAGAAGCTGAAGAATGAACTACAGCTGGCATTCAGATTATGATCTCATGTCACATTCAGTTCTCACAAACATTCACCAGGATGTTATTTGTGAAGTTAAGATACAAAGTTCATAACTGTTGTCAGAATACTCACCTTGTGTTGTAATCAATGATTTCAGAATCTGGTTTCACAAAACTTTCATATTTGACACTGCAGTCATCAGCCACAACAGTGACTCGAGCCAGCTCAATGCCAGCTTTAGTGTACACCTACAGTGTCAGATATGGAGTACACACGTTAATGTCACAGACACTCAACTATACATTACCATGTTACGTGAAAACAGCATGACTAGAAAAACAATGAATCAAATGTGTTTTTATTCTTTCTTAAACAAACACACTCACTACTTGCTCTATGTACTTTTAGTAACATTGGCAATTCTGAAGCTTACACCTTCCACAACTCAAAACTAAATTTGAGGCATGATGTCATTTTTGATCAGCATATTTTTTTAAATCTGAATCTCACTTTAACAAACACGGTTCTTAATGATTACTAATATTTATAGTGATATTGAACTTTAAAAAAAATTTCTACATTAAAGTATGACTTCTTTACTTACAATTAAAAATATCCTCCTGAATAATGCAAGAAAATATGAATAATAGATATAAAAGGGATAAGTTACCATTTCACAGTCCAGAGCAAAGATGGCATAATTTTGTTCAGATGACGGTGAGGAGGGAAATGTCTTCATATAGCCAGTCAAACAATCTGTCTTGTTCTTTTCATGAACATGACACTGCGATGAAACAATATCATGATCTCATGAAACAATACAGTTTACAAGTTCTAGAATCAGCTGAAACTATTATATGCTTTTAAAAGATATATTTAAAAATTGGTAAAAACAGATTTAACAAAGCAAGTTGTAATATTTCAAAATGGAAAAATGAGCTCAAACGAATTTTGTTTTCTATAAGCAATGTATTCAATTATTCAAATGTTTGCACTGCCTTATCTTAAGAAAATAAATCTGAATTATTAAGCAACAACTACAACAAAGAATTAGGGTGCTGATACTAATATTAACATCAGCATATGGTGTGCATTTAATAAATATAAAGACATACTAGGGTAATAATGAACAATATAAAAATGCTCTAAATTTAAAATAAAAGAGAATTAACAAGCTAACAATTATAATGAAATGCTAATGGAAAGCTAACCCCAAAAGCTTAGCAAGGAATACAGAAATCAGGGAGCTGTGGAGCTCAGTTGGCACAAGTTCAAATTCTAATCAAGGCCGATATTTTATTTTTAAAGTAGCCCTAATAAAAGCCCATAAAAATTACATCAACTTTTATATTAACCAAGCCTTAAATGTGCACCAGAACATATTCTAAGAACAATATAAAGACTACAGGCATGATGCTGACATCAACTCTTATATTAACCAAGCCTTAAATGTGCACCAGAACATGTTCTAAGAACAATATAAAGACTACAGGCATGATGCTGACATCAACTCTTATATTAACCAAGCCTTAAATGTGCACCAGAACATGTTCTAAGAACAATATAAAGACTACAGGCATGATGCTGACATCAACTCTTATATTAACCAAGCCTTAAATGTGCACCAGAACATGTTCTAAGAACAATATAAAGACTACAGGCATGATGCTGACATCAACTCTTATATTAACCAAGCCTTAAATGTGCACCAGAACATGTTCTAAGAACAATATAAAGACTACAGGCATGATGCTGACATCAACTCTTATATTAACCAAGCCTTAAATGTGCACTAGAACATGTTCTAAGAACAATATAAAGACTACAGGCAAGATGCTGACATCACAACTATCCAGTGTCCATTGGTCTAGACAGATACAGATCAGCAGCATAAAACCTATTTGCATAATAGCAACTATGTGTCATCAATCTGTGCATGCTTGTTTATGTAGGCAAGCATTTGTTTTTCCTCTTAAAAAACCTTATTTTAAGATTATGCAAAATTTAACAAATGAAGAAGAATAAGCTTTAAATGAAAATATTTATTATGAAAGATTAATGAACAATTAGGAAGTGAGCCAAAAATTCTCATGAAAATTCGCTTTGCCTAAACATTCAGTTTTATACCTAGCATAATATTTAGTGGCAAGATTCTGACAGTATTTATGTCATAACAGGAGAGTAGAAACTATCACATCAGAATAGGAGAGTGGGGACTGTCACAACACACCATACTATGAGAGTAAAGACTATCATAGGACACTAAGATAGGAGAGTAGAGACTATCACAACACACCATACTATGAGAGTAAAGACTATCATAGGACACTAAGATAGGAGAGTAGAGACTGTCACATCAGGATTTCTTCTTCTTCGTTCACCGGCTGTGAATTCCGGTTAATCGTCCGTTTGAACTTTTGGCTTCTACCTGGACCAGAGTTTTGCGTGTACAGACGTTTTACTGGCTTTTGCCGTTCCCTCTGAGGGAAGACATCAGGCCTATTTCTAGGATGACTGTGGCCATTGTTTTGTGTGGGTCAAGATGTTACCTTATTTGTGTGGTGTCCTCCTTGTCCCTTTCTCTACAGGTGTTGCCCCCCAGAGTACCCCCTTTGGGGCAGCCCTGTGTGGAACGTTTAGCCCTCAAGGGAAGGCAGGGGCAGATCATGGGCAGATCATGGGCATTCTCCGCCATCCAAGGAGGATTCCATAAATGCAGAGCCGACACATAATGCTCTGGTTCTGGGCTCACAAAAGGAATTGTCACGTCCTGCACATAACTGCTTAACCTCACAACCGTATTAGGCTTCCCGCTCTACAAGGACTGTGCCCTCCAGAGATCAGAGGGGAGCAGCCCGTAGGTTCTGGACTTTTATGACCACGCGAATAGGTATAATCTTTTTCATCACACAATTGTCATCTTTAGTGTACTGTTAGCATGACAAAATGGGGAATCCTGCGTCAGGCATGTCTTTATCTGTTTGGTCCCAACACTCGGGTGAGTAGGGTCTCGGGATGTGGACATTTGGACTTTTCCTCAATTAATACGATTTATGATGGTCGGATTTTGAGCTTGCTCGTGTGCCGTAAGTTGGCTGTTGAATGTCAACCGATGCGGACGACATCGTAAGACGCCAACGCATAGCTGGGGCGGTCCACAGGAAGGTTGCAGCCGCGTTCCAAGCTCGCCCAGCCCGGGCTCATCCCAGTCCCGCTTCGTACCCTGGCCCGACTGACCCAGCCCTCAGAGCCTATCCTTTTCCCGAAATTACAGCTCCAATTTGCCGACTTCCCTTACCTACATTGTTCTATCGACTAGAGGCTGTGCACCTCGGAGACCTGCTGCCGATATGGGTACGGCCTGTAGGAGAGTAGAGACTTTCATAACACAACAGGATAGGAGTAAAGACTATCACACAAGGTTAGGAAAGTAGAGATTATCACATCAGGGTAGAAGAGCAGAATCTATCAAAACACACCTGAAGAGGAAAGCAGAGACTATCACAACACACCAGGATATGAGAGCACAGGCTATCACAGAAGGAGACAAGAGTAGATACTAATTAAATGACCATTTTTATATTTAAAAAAATTAATGGTGTTACTTACTTTAGCCACCTGACATCCTTTACTTCCAATTCGCTCATTGCAGCATCCATATCGAGAATCAATGAATCCAGCAACTTAAAAAAATAATAATTGTATACATACATAAATGTTCACGCTTAAAGTATATGATGTGTGTGTATTCATGTTCAAGTGAATTCATAACATTTGTTCTTTTTTATAAAAACACAGGGGTACAAATGAATGAACACACAAACAATTTATTACTGTGCTGTTAATGTTATTTGTACAACCTCATTTGAAAAACTCACCTATCAATATAAATCTGTGTGTATCACAATTCATTAGGGCCAATTACAGATCAGAAGCTCACCCACCAAACAAAAGTCACTCTGACCATTGTAGGCTGGTTGATGGTTAGAATTATGAGATCCTCAGCAACTTTTATCAGAGATAACCCAGGGTAACTGTCAACTTCTTCATATCTAAATCAACACTTCTGAGATAAGATACTTGAGGAAAGTTGCCAAAGTATCCAAAACATAGTGAGAAACGATACTAACAGGCAGACTGAGGGAACATTACAGTATATCAAATACACACTCAAAAGAAGCAAAAGACAAAGTGTTAATGCAGAAACATCAGTTTACAAAACAGGTGGTAGAACTAATAAGAGAGCAAGAAGAAAAATATATATATATATGACATTAAAAACATACAAACAAAAGTGATGAAAGCTAATGTCATCCACTGAGTGCTGGGCCACCAACTTTTCCTTCTCATGATGACTGATGGCGATGAGGAACAACAAGCAAGCAAAGAGAATGTGCAATGTGTAAGACTAGCATCTGACTGAAGAAATGTTAATTACTGCTAAAGATAAGTCAGAATGTTTGTAATGAATACACAATAAAAAACTGGGACACAACTATACATTTCTATATAAGTCCTACAACAGTACCTTTCTTTTTGTATGCATTGGCATAATGGTAAACACATTGCTCTAAAGATATAGAGCCGCCATCTTTGTCCACATAGAATCTTTTCCCACACCTTCTGCATGTGCGTTCATTATCTGGGAAAGAAAATATATAACCAATACAATTCTGGCATCATATTTAAATGTACCTGACATAAACAATGAAACAGTTGATTATCTGTTGTAAAGCAAGCGGTATGGTGGTTGTAATAAAAAATGTAAATTAATGCAGATAAAATGACAAATGCAGTTTGAAGAAATTAAGAAGTGACAACTAGTAACGTAACACTAATTAAAAGTGTGTACACTGAACAGACTTACAACATACATAGCTTTCAAGAGACAACCTCAATAGTTGACAAACGTCTAAAGGCTGACAATATAAAGATACACACATACTCTGACAGATAACTTCATTACTTTACAAACATGTACAGGTGAACATGACACAAATTTGGCAGCTCAAGTATTCTCTGGGATATGGAAGTCAGTCCCAATTCAACCTTTCTCAGCTTCTTCTTATGATATGCACTGATGGTGACAGAATTACTATAATTTGTTTCTGGGGTAACACACTGGTGACAAAAGTACTAACCAACGATAATATGAATTTCCGACTGCTAGAATATATCAGACATGTGTGGCCATAATTAACCCTGTCATACAAAAACCAGCTTTGAATCAGATCTGTGTTGTTGACCTGATTATGTTATGTCGACAAACCATTTAGGTATTTATTTACTGTTCTTTCTCTTGCTTTCTTTCCATCAAGTTTGTTATCAAGTCTATTCCTTCTCATTACTTCCTAAAATTACTGACTGTCTGTGTATAACTACTCTGATTGATGTACTGTTTATATATGTTTCTTGAAGGATTACTTCATTCAGGAATGCTATTTTTTTTTCTTAATGGAGAGGTTTCAACTCTATACTGGAGATGTGTATGATAAAAACAGGTTTTATTTACAGGAACCAAATATTCTCTGTATTTTAGTAATACATGTACTAAACACACAATTCATTCATAAAACAGTCCACTTCAAACTGACAGAGGGACTTGAATGAGGTATTCCTGAATTTCACTTTGTCAGTTCAATTTAGTAGATTTTTGTCATTATTTTTGAAAAAATCAGAGCATATTACTAGAATACTAACTATACTTGTGGAAAACTGATTCTACTTAGCTTTGCAGATGCGCCCGAGCTAATATATTTAGAAAAAACAGAAAAACACAAGAATTCTGTCATCTATTGAATCAAGAATGTATATGATGAACAACATGTCACGGTCATAGTGAAAACAGACAAACTGTCTTCCTCTTTCGTTTGCTTGAAATACATTATTTATATCTACACTGCTGTCTCTAGTATGAACTTCGCTGTCTTTTGTAATTCACTCAGCGACCCGTAAAGTTTGGCTTCCACCAGTGTCTCTCTTGGCCAGAAGTTTTGCCTGGAAATGTTGTATTTGGGACGGTCTTGGAGGATGTGATCTGATGTCTCATATGCATATGGCTGATTGGCCAATCTTAACACAACTTCTTGTGTACTGAACACAGTAACTAGGAAAAGACAGTTATGGAGCAGCACATTTAGTAAACAAGAGGAAAAAACTGGAGGGATGGGGGTTTACAGAAAAGGAGAGGGTAAAAGGAAAGATAGAGAGAAAGAGAAGAAGATAAAGACTAGAGGAGAGGGAAAGAGAGAATGCATGATATAGGAAGGAGTGGGCAAGAGGTAGAAGAGTGAAAGGGGGAAGGAGAGAGAGAAAGAGGGATATGTGAGAGAAAAGACAAGGGAAGCTATGGGGGAATTATAATGTTGATGGCCAAACACACTGTAAAGATAAACCATGCCAAAATTAGAACTGGGAAATCCAGCTGACATCACTTTACTAGCCCCACCATCTAGATACAAACACACACAAGATAGCTGCTCCCCCCCCCCTCCCCCCATGACCTGCTGTTTGTGTGTTTCCTTGGGCTACAACACACATTGCCCATCCCTTGCCCTTAATAAGTCATTTCAGCTGAAAATGGCAGATAATCCTGCTCACTGCTTACCGGAAACAACCATAAACATTTTTAACGAAGGTAGCCAAAAATAGCCTAACTGCTGAAAATCGCAGGTCTTCCCACAATAGTTAGTTTTACTTCAATTGTTCCACTGTGATGGGAAAAATTCAAGATAAATATGTCTTTCCCAAGGTAAAAATCCAGGCTCAAGGTCAGGGTCTCAATGTCCAGGTAAAAATTCAGGTTTCTGGTCGGCTACAAACCCTGTAAAAAAGACATCATCCTTTGTGGCCTTTAAACTGTAATATCAGTGTAATAATACCTCCTACATCATCTTTAAATGTCTGTTTTAGCTCACCAGATCCTGCTAGCATCACCCAAACAATACAGACTGTAACCTTACTGGGTGAAATGGCCAGTGAACTGATTCCTTCAACAAAGATAAGCTACATATTTATATTCACCCTTCAACATCTTATCTTTCTCCTCTTCCTTGTAGAACTTGGCCTTGTTACTGCCATCTTCAGCTGGCCGAGGATATCCATTTTCTCTCAGCTGTTCTTCAGTAAGAATGTATTTCTTCAGATGCTCATACAGCTCCTTTCCTGTTAGAGGCAGAAAAATAAGATCATTTCATGACCCATGATATGACAAGATGGAAACGTTTAACAGAAAGAAAACTGAATTTCATGCCCAAGCTGTCTATTATGTCATGTTTCCAACTTCATGTGAGTTACTGACTTTTGTTTCCACTACTACTCTTTCTAAGCCATTTTAATGTCTAATGTGGCAAAAGTATTTCAGTTTCCATTTAAGAGCCAGTTTTTTCTCTTAATGCTCAGATTTTGTAGAATGTTATTTATTTCCTAATTCATAGTATCCAAAGAATTTTTCTGTAATATTTAGATTCAAAATCTTCATTTTTTTGCTTCATTAGAGACAGTGAAACAGTTCACAACACTGATCTATATGTTGCACAGGAAAGATGCATACTGTCATAACCTTTACAGGGAATTATTAACAAACACAAGGAGTAAATACTTGCTTACTTGAAGTAACAATTTACCTGAAAATGTTTGTGGAAGTTTCCGCGTGGTGTTCCCTGACCTATGTAATGTGTAACTAGTTTTAGCTGCTAGAGATCCACCTAGAGTAGCTTCATGTGACTGGGCTGGGTGTGGCATTGATGCCATGGAAGATAGTGTAGCCAAACCAAGACACTGCTTTTTGGATGTTGACGGCTGGGACTCCAGGGCTTCTGTTCTGATTCTTTTAATGGCATTGACAGCAACTCTCAGATAAATGTTTTTATTGGAAGCACGATTATAGGCAGCCTGTTCCTCTTCTTGACCCTGAAAAATATGAATCAGGAGAAAATGATGTTTCGAATTCCATAAAAATACTCTGACTCCATCTGGCCCCCTTTCATACAATCCAGCTCTAAAATGTCATGTCAGTAAGAGCTATTCTAAGGTCACATTTCAACCTTCTGATTAATATTGACCATAGATATCACGTTCATTTTTAAATGCTAGTCAACACCTGAAAAGTTATGCAATGGAAAAGTTATGCAATGGAAAAGTGATGCAATGGTGATGTGATCCTTATAATTCTAGCCACCTGGTACCCTTTTTTAAAGGCTGGGTGATCAATCATGCACACACACACACACATATACAGAGATACGCTGCCTTTCATTTTTCATTTCCCATCTTTACAGATAATGAAAGAAAATGACAAATGACCATAACAAAGGAGCTGGTAAAGGTAATGCTGAACATAGACTATTGTATGAAACCTAGCATAGCCAACATTG